TTTGTATTTGGCTTTATTCTGTGTTGTGTGAAACAGTGTTCGTTAATTTTTGGATCCCATAACCCTAACTAAAGTGAATTCGAAATGGGTATTTAGTGGGATTGAAAGGGGTAGTAATAAGTGTTTCTTTAAGGTTGTGCGAGATAGAAGTAAAGATGTTTTATTAAGTTATTTGGGTTGATCTTTACATTATGGTAACTTGGCGTTTTTTTGGCGAAAATTTGGCGACTAACTCTCCTACAGCAACCCTCTATTTTTTTTTCCCGCCGACATTTTGTCTTCACGAAGTGTAAGACATGTTTCTTTTCTTTTTATCTACTGAACACTTCTTCCAACAATCTACTAGCCGAATTACACTTATGCTAGAAATTTTATCTAACAAAACTGCTTAATCATGACAAATATTCACTTCAAAATTGGGAAAAAGTGCACAATACCATACTCCTTACGCGTTTTTCAAAATAACACATACACATAAACCATGTACACGCCGACTTATTTTTACTTAAAAAAACATCCCAGAATTGCACAAAAATGGCATTGCGCACACTCTTCACTATATCCATGTACACTGCTTTTTTCTCATAAATTAGAAAAATTTCACGAAAATACATGACAATTTTTTCAATCTTTAAACCCGGTAAAAAGAACATATATGAAGTTACCTGATCGCAAAAAAGTAATGAACATTTCCACATATAAAATATCCAAAAACTTTTACCTCTAAATCATCTATTACATTATACACGTCACCAACGAATTCATACCGCAACCATTACAAATACTTAGTGTCAGATATTTAAATTATTTCCATGCACGTTTACTTCAAACTAAAACGTATACCAAATTCCTACAAACATAAAATTCACAAATAACTATCATTAATTAATTAAAATAAATTAAATTCAAAAACACTACTTAAAATATAAATGAGCACATACATTAAATTAATACATACATAAATACCCATTTCGAATTCACTTTAGTTACGGCCATGGGATCCAAAAATTCAACGAACACTGTTTCACACAACACAGAATAAAGCCAAATACAAAATTTCCAGATTTTTTCCCGATTTCCCCTCTTTTCCGATTAAAGAACCGTAATTCGTCCATTAATATCACATGACATATCCCATGATCTCTCATTTCCCTCACACAAAATAATGCGTAATCGGAACTGCTCACATTATTACCAAAGTCCCAGGTAGTAACCTTTATCGCCTCCAAACTACCAGTTACCATATTGTAAAGATCAACCGTTATTTATTTTACCTGGTACCTTGCTGTGAACTATAAGTATGATTTTAAAGATCCTGAAACAGAAATAAGAAAAGTTTATCGGACACATAATCAAGATTTTGAAGAAGAATAGGTAAGTTAGTATTTTTAATTATTTGAGAATATTATTTTTATGCATTGTTCTAAATGTAAGGTGGAAGTAAAGTAATTTGATATTATTGGGAAAATTGTTATTAGCAATGATTTAGTTTAAAGTAATTAGGATTGTAAGCTAATTTTTATTAATTTAATGTATGTGCTTATTTATATTTTAAGTAGTGTTTTTGAATTTAATTATATTTTAATTAAATGATAGTTATTTTGCGAATTTTATGTTTGTGGGAATTTGGTATATGTTTTAGTTGAAGTAAACGTGCATGGAAATAATTTAAATGACACTAAGTATTTTGTAATGTTTGCGGTATGAATTCGTTGGTGACGTTTATAATATAATAGATGATTTAGAGGTAAAAGTTTTTGGATATTTTATTTATTTTATATGTGGAAATGTTCATATTTGGAAAGGGTATATACTTTTTTGCGATCAGGTAATTTCATATATGTTCTTTTTACCGGGTTTAAAGATTCAGAAAATTGTCATGCATTTTCGTGAAATTTTTCTAATTTATGAGAAAAAAAAAGAAGTGTACATGGATATAGCGAAGAGTGTGCGCAATGCCATTTTTGTGTAATTCTGGGATGTTTTTTAAGTAAAAATAAGTCGACGTGTACATGGTTTATGTGTATGTGTTATTTTGAAAAACGCGTAAGGAGTATGGTATTGTGCACTTTTTCCCAATTTTGCAGTGAATATTTGTCATGATTAAGCAGTTTTGTTAGATAAAATTTCTAACATAAGTGTAATTCGGCTAGTAGATTGTTGGAAGAAGTGTTCAGTAGATAAAAAGAAAAGAAACATAATGGCGGCGGGAAAAAAAAAATGGGGGGTTGCTGTAAGAGAGTTGGTCGCCAAATTTTCGTCAAAAAATAGCCAAGTTACCATAATGTAAAGATCAACCAGAAAACATTTTGATGAAGAATTATAGAATAAAATTATTCAATAAAATACTACATTTAGAAAGATGTATAACAATTAAGAAATTAAGCAATATTCCATTAACCCTCTGGGTGGCCAGGGTTTTCGCTACGAAAGCAAAAATTTCCCAAAATTACTATGAGAACAAATTATTGTTTTGATTTTAATGCAAAACTGCTCCTGGTATTTCATACCCGGATTTGTTTTCTTTTGATATATTGCCTTAATTTTGTTGACAAATTTTAATATGCACGTACAGGGGTTGGACAAAAATATGGAAACACCTTTAAAAAACATGTTTCTTTGCTTAATATGGTGTAGGAAACCCAATGGCATCCAAAACAGCTTGCAGTCTTCTCGGAATGGATAAATACAGTTCCTGTATGTTTGCCAAGGGAATATTATACCATTCTTCCTGCAAAACGGTGGCAAGTTCAGATAACGAGAATGCACTTTCCGTTCCAACGTGGACCACAAAGGTTCGATAATATTCAGGTCTGGTGACTGTGGTGGCCAGGAGAAATGGAACAACTCATCCTCGTGCTCAGAAAACCAGTCCTGGACAATGTGAGGCTGTGTGTGAACAGGGGGGCTTTGTCGTCTTGGAAAACACCATCACCATCGGGGAACAAAGTTTGTACCATGGGATGAACTTGATCGGCCAAAATGTTCACATAAGTCTTGGCAGTCATGTGCCCTGACACAGATATCATGGGGCTAGCAGAGAACCACGATATGGCTGCCCAAACCATAACAGAACCCCTGCCATGTTTCATTCTTGGCAACAAGCAGTCTGTATTATGGGCTTGAGATGGCGTTCTCCAGACGTAAACTCGGCCAGAACTAGGGAACAATGTGAAAGAAGACTCGTCAGACCATATTACTCGCTTCCACTGCTCTATAGTCCAGGCTTTATGACTTAAACACCACCTTTTCCTGTTACGGGCATTAGCATCACTGATGAGTGGCTTCTCAATTGCAGCACGGCCAGCAATTCCCTGTTTATGTTATTCCCTTCTAATTGTTTTGGTACTCACAGGGTTCAGTAACACAACATTCATTTCAGCAGTAACTTTTGCAGCTGTGGTCTTATTTTTCGTCACAACTGCCCTTAATGATCGTCTGTCACGATCACTCAGGACACACTTTCGTCCGCGCTGTGATTTAGCAGATGATGTTTTTCCGCTTTTCAAATATGCGGAATAAATCTTCGATACAGTACCTCTAGTAACTCTTAACACCTCGGCTACCTTGCTTACGGAAGCACCTACCATACGTGCTCCAACAATTTGCCCACGTTCGAAGTCTGTTAACTCTGACATAATGCAATGACAACCTCACATAACAGTACTCCGACAACAACTGAACTGTTTAGCACATTTACGAAGTTGTATAGGTGGCGTCAGTAGTCAAAAACGCCAGCGCCACCTAAATATTTCATTAAAATCAATCTTTCTTTTCAAACATGCATTTCAGAAGGTGTTTCCATATTTTTGTCCATCCACAGTATATATACGTTCTTACAGATATCACAATAAATATTCTAGGTCGTATATATACGGCCTTGCCGCTTAGAGGGTTAAAACAAACTATAGTAGAAAGGAATATGATTTTTGTCATTTCCAGAAGAATTGATTTTTTTTTTAAATTTGTAATTAATAACTTCAACAAGAATCACTGAAAATTAATGCAGCAACATCAAAGTGCATATTTCAATAATAAATGAAAAACTAGAGTAAATCAACTGATGATATGATAACTGTTAATTATTACTAAACCATGCAAAACAAGGAAGTTTTGAAAGAAATATCCAGAAATTACTACAAAGCAAAATCTTCCAGATTGCAGCATGTTTTGAGTATCTGGTTTTATGTCGTCTAGCATTATGAAATGTTAATGCGATAAAAAATTGTTCAATAAAAATATGCTTCAATTCATTTCTCAGTTGACAAATATATAGCGTCTGCCAGTTTAAGACTTGTAGCCATGTCAACACTGACTGCTAGTTATACTAATACAAATTAGATTTGCAGTTTTCACTACTTTAATTTAAGCACAAAATTAAAATTTCGTTTGACTGATAATGGAGAGTATTTACAAAAGCAATGATTCTGTTTCGCTAAAATTATACGGTAAAAAGTAATAAGCTTCAATTGAGATAATATGCACTCGTAACAAAATTTTTCACAAACACCGGCATGAAAAATAACACGGATCAATATTAAGATATTGATGCATATTAACGATTTCAATAAGAAGGAGCGCAGGAATTGTCACAAAAAAACTATTAGATAAACATACAACTATCAGATAAAAACTGAAGACAACATTCTGTAAGTAGCGAAATCTGTGAATTTGAATGAAAGGAACATATGCGCCACTGGAAGGAAAAAAAAAAAAAAAAAAAGCAACAGCAGACAATGTTTACATTCCACCTCAGAATTAGTATTCTGAACTACATCGACTCGAAAGTGGGCCACATAGTAAATGGCACTCGGCCAATCAATCGTCAATCCTGTTCAAATGTAAACATCCCTTTCTCTTTCGCTTTTGAATAGGAACCTTGACATTCGGTGTTATTCTTGATTTTTAGCAATTCACAACAATTCAAATTTTTGTAGGAAATAAATATGAAACTCTAACTTACTACATCTTTTGAACTAATTATTGCAACATATGTTTACCTCTTCGACGTTCCGCCTTGGAATGTGAAGAAATGACAACAGTAATTTTAACTTAACTTGAGACTGTAGCTCTATAAAACATTCTCTAATGTTTCTCAAAACGTCTTGATTTAATTGAGAACATATAGAACCACCCGACCAGAGGTCATTACTTGTTCCAAGTTTGTTATGGAGCCAGAGAGATGTGTCACTATCCCTCACGTGCGCCATATTGGAAGGTCTTAAAGGCCAGCGCCATTTTGTTCCGCCATTATAACATGCTGCCAATCCGATTTTTAAAATAATTTGTATTCAGGCGGTTTGTTGACAAATATCTGCCTATTTGTTCAACATAAGCAAATTTAGCCCAGTATTATCTCAAAAAAAAAAAAAAAAAAAAAAAAATGCAGTGCCTTACTGAAAAAGTCTGCTGCTACATAGAATACATCCTCAAAATTATGCTGAATTAAAAAAATATCATACTTTATCATGTTATTAATATTTACCGAATATAATTTTTTTTAAAGTTTTTTTTGGATTAGTATCAATATTGAAAAATAGAGGGCGCCACAACTCCATTTGGGAAGATATTGAATTTTCATTTTGGGGAAATATTTAATTTTTCTGCATTAAAATGTTTAATTTTTAATCTTAGGAAACGAAGTAACATTTATAGATTCACCATGACATAATTCATTCATCAAAATGTTATTTCTACAGCACAAAATGGATTCTGTTCAAATGTGTTGCAAACCTAAAGGTTTCGATAACGTCATTGCATCTTTCGCCAAATAGGAAATTTGGCGAATTTTTTCACGCCTGTGTTGTAGATCGTCTGCAAAGCAGAACAGGTTTTGAGTGTATATATTCCCTGCCTCAAGCAATTTAGAAAGACAAAATGTTGAAAGCTTTCAATAGCCAATCAAGCGAACAAAACGTTGAACGCTTTCAATATCCCTCAATAGCCATCTGCAGAATCTGGAAACCATAACAAGTGAGTGCATTCAACGAAAAATTTCTCAAGAGCAATGTTTGGTTTTCCGCTAAATGTAATTCAAATGATAAATTATTTGACTAATACTATTAATAAATATTCAGCTAAGGGTGATGCGAGAACGTGAAAAGATCATTCAATATTATTTCAGAGAGACTTCAGGGATCTTTAACACTTCGATGCGCGGTCGTCGCGCCCTGAAACCACCAAATTTCGAATTTTTTTCTCCTCTTCTTTCCGAAATTTTTGAGTGAAAAACGATTGACTACCGATCTTTTACCTCTAAATAACACAAAATGACTGCAGAATCATACATGCCTTAGGTCTTAGTGCTTCAAATCGGATGCCTTTTAAAATTCGTGTTCAATGAAACAAAATAACAGCTTATTACTAATATAAAAAATTTTAAATTTCAAATGTTATTCATCGCACATCATGATTTCGATCATAAACAATAAAAAATTGCAGTAATTAAACTGCATGTGTAAAAAAAACCGTATCTTTATTTATGGCATTTGCTTTGTGGTTCCAGGGCGCGACCCTACACAACTAGGCACGATGTCACAATGCTCACAATCCGCTAGAGGCTTTGTGGTCGCGCTTTGAAACCACTGCTCTTCACAATGGCGTTTGCTTTCTTCTCAAATAGGAATGTTTATTTTTATCCGGATATAGATAAAGGGTTTTGAAACCACAGCGTTATTTATTAGTAAACAATACATGCACCTGCCCAGTAAAAAGATCTTCTTTTCCAGAGATTTTTCTCTGACCTCAACACGTTTGCTCCCCAAGCTAGTATTGTGATTTTATAAAATTATTTTCTGTGGTTTAATTTAATGTAAATATACTTTGCTATAATTAAAAATAGAAATCGCTTAAGTTTCATTTAAATTAAAAATATTTTCTGAATATTTTGGGACAAAATACGAGTAAAATAAGTATGAATGGGAAACAAATGATCCGTACCAAAGCCAAAAAGACCAAGCCCCTCCCCCGATTAACATAAAAAACCACAAATTTCGTGTGCCAGATGAAAAGAAAGTAAATAACGCTGGACATATACCAGTGAAATTTAGATCCAGGCAGTGTACATTTTGTAGCACAAGGAAGAAACCTCATAGAAGATACATGTGCGAAAACGTGCAATGCGGATCTATTCATGTACCAAAAAGACAAAACATGCTTTGAAGTGTCACAAAAAAAATTGTTCTTTGATATTTGTAGAAAAAAGAGATAGAGGGCGCTGCGCCGCCCGTATGTTTAGCTAATTAAGAGTTTTCGGCAGAGTGGGTTGAGAGGTTGATGAGAGTGGTTGAGAGTGGCATAAACTAGATACTCTGTAATCTGTACTATATAATATTTGTACATAGTCTTCTCTTCATTAAATAGATTTAGTTAAAGGAAAGTGTCTTTGTTTGGCTAATAGAATACAAGAACCACCGAAAAAAGACGATGTAAGTAAGTTATTACATACATCAAGTTTTTGGTATCAGGCCGAAAGGTGAGTCATTTCATTTATCTGCATGCAATTTATCTTTGATAATGAGTTCTGAAGAAACCGTCGAGAGAAATAGAAAAATTAGAGGTTCGGTTCGTACCAGTGTAACAAAATTAATAAGGAAATTGGATGAGGAATTGCAAAGCGAGAATCCGAACCTAGAAGTGTTGCAGGAATCGCTTTCAGTGTTAATCGAGAGAGAAACTAGCTTGTTAAAATATGATGAAGTTATTAATGCTCAAAGCACTGTTCAGGAATTAGAGACAGAAGTAGAACATTGTTTAGAATACAGCGAATCCATCATTAGATGTAAATCTAAAGTCAATAGATATATTCAAAATGTGGGTAAAACCGGAACAACTTCACAAGTTTCGGAAATCAAAACTAATTATAATACTAAATTGCCTCGCATTACCTTAGAAACTTTCAGCGGCGATTTATGTAAATTTACTGAATTTTGGGCTCAGTATAAAGCTGCCATTCACGAAAACAATACGCTTCAAGATGTTGAGAAGTTTAACTATTTAAGATCTTTACTCACCGGTTCAGCTGCAAAAGCTATAAGCGGATTGCCATTAATAGGAGAAAACTATATAAAGGCCATCGAAATCTTAACTGACAGATTTGGGAAAAAAGAAATATTAGTTAGCGCTCATATGAACGTTCTCCTAGCTTGGAGCCAGTACGCCGATCAAGTGATGTATCCAGTTTAAGAGAACTATATGATAAAATAACAGTTCAAACAAATTAAAATAACAGTTCAAAAAAAGTTTAGAGACATTAGATATTAATTTTAATTCTTACGGCAATCTATTCCTATTTTATATAAGTGTATACCGCAAGATTTAGTGTTACAGTTTAGTAGGGAGCAAAAGGTCGAGTCAACAGTGTCAGATTTATTGTTGTTTCTAAAGAGAGAAGTAGAAGCGCGCGAAAAGTCATTAACTCTGGGTCTTAAACAACAAACACTTTCGATAACCAGTGAAAGAAATACCGACAACTATCGTAAGAGTGTTGCTCCAATTAAAAAGAAAATGGTATCAGCGGCGACGCTTAATACATCAGTCGAAAATTATATGTGCGACTTTTGTCTTAAATCTCACCTCTCAAAAGACTGCGACTTAAGTATTTCAGAGAAAAACACAAAGCATTATACGATCAATTTAAGTGCAAGCGCTGTTTAAAAAAGGGTCACAAAAACCATTTTGTAAGGCAAAATGGGTTAAATGTAATATTTTGCAAATCTTTGTCGCATTTAGAGAGCCTGTGTGATGCAGAAGGGCAAGAAAATAAATCCATTAAAAATACTGCGAGCGCAGCAAAAGAGACAAACGTTAGTTCACTATTCCTCGAAACACTGAGCAAGCAAATTCCTAATGACGTGATTTATTATCAAACATTGAGAGGTCAACTGGTAGGAAATAATTCCACATTTAACGTTAGGTTGTTATGCGATTCAGCTTCCGAAAGATCTTATGTTTGTCAGTCTATTTCCAGAAAAGCAAGTTTACCAACTATTGGTAACAGAAAGATTAAGAATTCATACATTTGCATCTTCGAATCCTCCAGTGCGAGAATTTAAAAGAAAAAGACTTTCTCTAAAAAATAAGACAGGGTTCACTCTAATCATCGAAGCACTCGAAGTAAAAACCATATGTTCCAATGCATTACCCAGGCCATCTGCAGAAATTATAAACAATCTTCGCCAACAAGGATTTCACTTATCTGACAGCTGCGATAGTGAAGTGGCAGCAGAGGTACAGATTTTAATTGGGAATGATTACTTGAACTGCATCTTAACGGAGGAAAACACATCGGTTAACAGAATATTTAGTACTGCATGAAAGCATATTCGGTTGGACGTTGAGTGGTAGAGTGGGGGGAGAGAGTAAGAAGTTCAGGGTCAGACTCCACCTCGGAAGAGGAATTAAAAATATCGGAACAGATTCGTCAGCTTTGGGAGATTGAAAGTCTAGGAATCTCTGAGTGCGCGTCGGAAAGGAGTTCTGGCGATGAGCGAATAATTAAACAATTTGAAGAGGATTTGAAATATGTAGACGGGAGGTATGAGGCTCGCTTGTTGTGGAATAGGAGTCCAGAGCATTTGGAAAATAATTTTGGTTTAGCGAAAAGGCAGTTCGAAAGGGTGCAGCGAGAGTTAAAAGGTAACAGCTTTGTGAGGGAACAGTTTATGGAAATAATTAAATTTCAGACACAAAACAACATTATTCAAGAGTGTGAGGATACGAGAGAGGGATACTTTATGCCATTCCGAGCAGTGGTCCGTAAAGATAAAAAAAGCACTCAAGTTCGAATGGTATTTAATTGCAGCAGTTGCGAAAGAGGAAAGCTATCGTTAAACGATTGCTTAGAAAAGGGCCCAAACCTAAATCCGAATATTTTGGATATCATTCTTTCCTTTCGAAAATTTAAAATTGGATTCTGCGGTGACATAGAAAAGGCGTTTTTGATGATTGGGATAGCAAGGGAAGATAGGCAATATTTAAAATTTCTCTGGTATCCTGATAATGACAGTGAGGACTTTAAAATTATGCAAATGAACAGAGTATTATTTGGATGTAATTGTTCACCGTTTTTATTGAGTGCAACGATCAAACATCATTTAAAGAAATAAGCGGAAAAACTGTGTCGAGATGTTAAATAGCTCACTGTATGCAGACGATTTGTGTTATGGAGGGGAAAGTGTAGAATCAGCTTTCAGTCTTTCATCAGAGGCGGTATCTATTTTGAGAGAGCTAAACACTAATTCTAAAGAGCTGTATGACTTGTGGGTTCAGAAAGGGTTGTGTGAAGAAAAGTAGGTCTGAGAGAGATAGTAAGTTGAAAGTGTTAGGCTTGGTGTGGAACTTAGAAGAGGATGGTTTGAGAGTAGACGTTACATCATTGTTGAGTAGTTTAGGAATCGTTGAGAAATAGTAAAAGATCGGTGTTAAGCACAGCAGTTAAGGTGTTTGACCCAGTCGGATTTATTTCTCCATTTGTGGTGCGAGTTAAGAGACTGATGCAGGAAATATGGGAGAGAGAGGTTTGGAGTGGGATGCAGAGTTGCCAAAGGAGTTACGGTGCAAATGGATAAAGTGGTGCGCTGAAATTGAGGAATTAAACGCGTTGAAAATAGAGAGGTACTACTTTACAGAAGTTCTAAGTAAAGGTCAGTCGGTTGAAATTCATATTTTCAGTGATGCGTCAGTAGTGGCATATGGAGCGGTGGCATATTTTAGATATAAGAATGAGAGAGGAGAGGTATGTACGTCGTTTATAATGTCGAAGAGTAGGATAGCTCCGTTAAAAAAGTTGTCCCTCCCTAGGTTGGAATTGATGGGGGCTGTAGTTGCAGCTAGGTTAGGAAAATATTTATTGAAAATGTTTCAGGATTTGGTAGGTAGGTTAGTTCTGTGGACGGACTCCGAAATTTGCTTGTGGTGGATAAAGGGGTCAGCGCGTGAGTGGAAGCAGTTCGTGTCGAATAGAGTTGCAGAAAGAAATACCAAAGTGGAGTAAAAGCATAAATTAACTCGTGGTGAAAGATGCAATGGTGAAAGATGGCCTCATGAGCAGAAGTTTAAAGTAGAAGTAGAAACTGATACTCAAAATTTGGAACGTTTAAGCACTTATGTTCAGGTGACTATTCCAGAAGAAGAAAATGCGTTAGACATTACCAAATTCAGCAGTCTCGAAAAATTGTTGAGAGTTACAGCTTGGGTAAAGCGGTTTGTCGCCAAGCTAAGAAAACGTGCCTGTGAAGAAGGTCCTCTTACTGTATTGGAGATCCAAGAAGCTGAGGAGTACTGGATAAAACAAGTACAGAGAGCGAATTACTTTTCGGATATTCAACAACTAGAGAGGAATAATCTAATAACACCAGATTCTAAGCTTTACAGTTTAGCACCATATCTGGACAGTAGAGGTATTTTGCGTGTCAGAGGTCGTTTGGAACAAGCAGAATTAATAGATGACGAAAAACATCCCATTATTCTGCCCAAAACGAAGTTCACCGAACTAGTGATATTTAGTGAACACATAAAAGTATTCCATTCAGGAGTCATGGCAACATTGTCCAAAGTCAGGAATAAATTTTGGATACCTAAAGGAAGACAAGTAGTAAAGAAAGTTATTAACGCTTGCCTGGTGTGTAAAAAGTTCGCAGTGAAGCCCGCCAAACAGTTAACGGGTCAGTTACCCAGAGATCGTGTAGTCCAAAGTAATCCTTTCACAGTTGTAGGCATCGACTTAACGGGAGCAGTTACTATTAGAGAAAAAGCGGATAACCACAAAAAGGTGTACATAGCCTTATTTACATGCGCCGTCACTCGTGCTGTACACATTGAAGTGGTTTCAGATATGTCAGCAAAAAGTTTCATTTTTTCATTACGACGTTTTTTAGCAAGAAGAGGGAGCTGCAAAGTGATTTATTCAGATAATGCCAAGAATTTCCGCAGCACATGTGAAATAATTAAAGGATTTAAAAGAATCAAAGCAGATCCAAGTGTGAGTGATTTCTTGACATCCAAAGAGGTAACATGGAAATTCATACCTGAGCGTTCCCCATGGTGGGGAGGGTTCTGGGAGCGTTTGATGAGAAGCATCAAGGAACCTCTGAAGAAAATCTTAGGGAGAGCATTACTGACTTTCGAAGAGCTCTCTACAATATTAACTGAACTCGAGTGTGTGCTAAATAATAGACCTCTTAACATACGAGAGCAACGAGCTGGGTGAACCTCGCCCGCTCACACCTTCACAGTTTTTATTGCCAGGACGTGGTACATTAACTTTAACTTTCCCCGAGCATTTCTTGGAAATTTTTAATAAGGTATCCGACAAACAAAGAGACTTTAACTAGGAGGAAGCTTTACCAATCTAAGCTCTTAAAATTAACATGGATCAAGTGGAAAGAACAATATTTACTCCATCTTAGAAATGCGCATAACTTTGCTAATCCTAAAACTGAGCGGAACCTTAAGACTGGAGACGTTGTGTTGGTAGAAGGACCAAAACAATCCAAACTACTTTGGGACATGGGTGTAATTGAAAACGTGATTATAGGAAGAGATGGACATGTTCGAGCGTGCCTCGTTCGCACGCCCAAAGGACAATTCAGAAGATCGATCCAGATGTTATATCCTTTCGAGATTTAATTTAGATAGAACTTTTGATATTATTGAGTTTTTATTATATTATTAATTATTATGTTCATTTGTGGCTTTGATATATACTAGTATAGATTATTCTTTTATATTATTCATTTATATATGTCATACCATTTAGTATTAATCCATTATTAATTAATGTTGATATTGTAAGTAAGTTTGTGTACTCTTGTTAAAGAGTACAGGTGGGGAGTGATGTAGAAAAAAGAGATAGAGGGCGCTGCGCCGCCCGTATGTTTAGCTAATTAAGAGTTTTCAGCAGAGAGGGTTGAGAGGTTGATGAGAGTGGTTGAGAGTGGCATAAACTAGATACTCTGTAATCTGTACTATATAATATTTGTACATAGTCTTCTCTTCATTAAATAGATTTAGTTAAAGGAAAGTGTCTTTGTTTGGCTAATAGAACACAAGAACCACCGATAAAAGACGATGTAAGTAAGTTATTACAATATTAAAAAACAAACCCACTGAGTCTTTTTTTATCCTTATTTTATTGAGTTTTTTTACCCATTTAGTCCAACGTCCTTATTATGTAGGTACTTATATTTTCGCTGCTACAGAAAATTACATAAATGGTTATTTTAAAATTTTTTTTCTGACGATTTACTTTGTAAAATAATGTAAAAAAATTATACATAATGCAATTCTTACATACAAATCGCGCGCGTCAAAGGGTTTTAAAACTACTTACTAATTTTGAACCATTATACGTAAAAACTTGAATGAACTGATATTTACATGGAGTAATTTATAGAATTCAATCATAGAAAAGGAATGCATTCAAATTATACTCATATTTTTTTATAATCTCATTATATGTTAGGTCAGCACTTGATTGAATGCATTGAAATTAAGCATAAATAAAACGGATTTGAAATAGTCTTCAAATATTAGAGATAGTGTGTTAATATAAAGATTCGTTAAAGTAAATTTTGCCTCTTCAATAATTCTTACAATATGACAATTCTTGTTGAATATTTCAATACGTTTTCCTGCATCACATAGTATAAGTTATTTAATCGCCGAAAGGATGGCATAATTGGAAATTAAGGAACATCTCTCGAGAGATAAATCGTGAAATTCGAGGAATATTTCGCAGCCGAGGATTTTCACTTACACTTTCTTTCAAAAATCTGTTGGATAACGACGCATTAAGTTATATTTATTTTCAAACAATCAAGCTTTGCCAGTGTTAATAGAGCCGTTACAAGAGATCAAGATCTTGATTTAAGCTGATGGTATAATTTAATACGTTATACGCCCCACAGATTTTTTTTATTTGGTATAAGTTATCATCCTTGGTTTGGTTATTTATTTCATTACGGCAAAGCACGCAAGGGCTATCTGCGTAAATGAAGGGATGCCTTAGTTGAGGACTTTCTAAGTGAAACTGGCTTGTACCATGCTATACATGGGAAAAATCACGAAATCGCCCATGCAGCCAGACCATTCGCTGCTATTCGAACCCCGATCGCGTAATGGCAAACTGCACATTGAGTTCATCAATGTTAACGAATTCCGCTTACTAAGCATGCTAAACGGTGTACCGTTGGCGGGGGAGGAAGTACTGGAGACTAAGCATAAGCAACTCTACAACAAGCCTATTAGTCATGTTGGTTTGACTGTTTAACAATTGGAATACTAAGAAAATTTGGGCTTATTGCATGTGCTTCTGTTTCATTTCATTTTGGTTTATTTTGTTCATAAACATTACATTTAATATCGGTTATTTGGAAATTGGATCAGTCTGAATGCCTAGCAGGAATCATACCACATACTTGAGCTGTTTTATATGTATGGATTGATTATTCCTATAAAGCCCACTTATTTGACTTTAATTCAGTAATTCAACCTGGATTTATTCTTTAATTTGCTAAAGTAAATACAAATACGAATGGAACGTATGGTAAATACTCAACTGCTTTTATTCCTCAGAAGTATTATTAATAAGCATTCAGCTAATATATCTTGTAATGATTTTCCTGCTTTATAATCCTTCTTAAACCAAAATTTGCGTAATTTACAATAGTTACACTTCAAGTAATCAAGCAACTTACAACCTGACAAGTTTTAAAACCCCGAAATGTTTACGCCTAGATAACACAATATCAACCGTATACCGCATTTATCTTCTTTTAAATTGAGCCACAGCGGTAAATGCGCCAACTTCTATCCTCGGTATGCGCAGTAAACGAAATTCGTTTAACATTGATCAACTCAACGTGCGGTTTGCCATTACGCACCCCGGTCGAACTACCAGCTGATCAGTGATAACAGATGGCCCACCTGCACTGCTCGGTCTTCGGTGACCTAATCTGCTATCATGTAACGTGGTTTGCATTCGAAAATGGATTGCTCAAGGATGCCGGCAAATATTAAAAGCATATAACATTGGAAACCATCTAGAAACTTCAATATAAATCAGAAAATTCGTGATATTTTTTATTTATTATGGGGCAAAATTATGAAAAATCCTTAAAATTTGCGGAAATTCGCTCAGTAATAAAGTGGGTTCTTGCGGAAGAATTCAAACTACGGATAATAACTTTACTTTGTGGATATTTTGTCTGCCTTGTCAGCTCTTTGATTGTAAATCATATAAAGCAGATGAAAGGTTTTTACCTAGGTAAGCATGCCTACCTAAATTTCAATGATCATTTCGACTTGTCGCTGTACATATTAGATGCAAATAGGTGTGAACAGGATTTTCATATACATGATTATCAATTTTTTTAAGATATTGTTCCGTGTTACGGCTTCGTGGATTTGGAGTAATTGATGATGACATGACGACGGACGAAAAACATATGTAAAATATATGGTGGCATAATAACAAAAAGCTAATAGGAACAATTTGTAATATTTTCAGAATAATTTTTTAAACTTCATTACTGTTATTCCAAGTAAAACCCTGATATTTTTAATTGAAACTATTTCTCATTCTGTTTGTAGCTTTTAAATATTGATTTGGACTGGATTATTTTGGTTACGGTAAAGCATACGAAAGCTGTTTGCCTAAAGAAAGGAATGCCTTCCTGAGAGGCTTTCTAAGTGGAATTGGCTCGTATCCACATTTACGCGTGGGGAAAATCACGAAAACTACTATGTATGAACTTCTTTGAGAATTTGGAACAATGGTCGATCTAACAATTTTCAGCTATTTTAACGCTTGGCCGCAAACGGGTCTTAAGAATTGTTTTAGTTATTAAACAATTGCCAGGCCTTTGACCAACAGGTCATTAGACGACGAGATCTCCAATACTTTTAACAACACAATAAAAATTATTTAATGCGTTACACTAGTCCAGATAGCATCAGTCACGCCTTTTCTGGATTCATACATCACGTATTCACGGACATTATTCAGTTAAAATCGAAATAAATAGGTACTAAGACAATTATATCCGCTCAAAAGTCCAAAGTGGTCCACAGCGGCAGATTCGGAACACTATATACACACACTAAAGCGCTCTCGAGGGCCACCAGCAGCGATCGCTGGTTGCATACGATAATGAAGGGAGTATATCAAAGTGGAAAGGATTTCAGAGTTCAAATCCTATAAAAGTGGAAAAGGATTTCAGAGTTCAAATCCTAGGTTATTTTCATTCTATATGCTCCGCAGTGGATGGAATTTAATAGCTGAAAGTTAATTTAACCATACAATCACGTTACACAAAAAAAGAGTGGAAAGGAGGAAGGAAAAAAGATGGAGATAAACTGTAATCCTTGAACGAATAAACAATGAAAATTAGATAAATTAAATATAAAAAATTACACAAAATTGTAATAGGTTTGTCTGAAGTATAATTTTATTGTTTGCTTCTCTTCTAGTAGGCAAGCAAAATGAAAAGAAGTGTATAAAAGAGCTTTCCGTAGGTCAGTTCTCAGTTCATGCAAAAAAATACATTCCTCTCTATCGTTTAGGTACTTTACAGAGCTGTAAAAAGTATAACAGTTAAGATACAATAACAAGCCGAACAAATATTAATTTAGACGTCAAATAACGAAAATCAGCTTAATATTTTTCAAATTTTCACAGGACTAGTTTCGATGGTTTTACCGAACCATCATCTTCAGCTGCAAAAGCGCAAATGAACGAGATAAGATATAATGATTAAATAAGATAAGATAAGAAAGCCTGGACAGGAGATAAGCTATTGGCGCCATCTGTTGATGAAACCAGAACTAAAACATAATTTCTTTAAAAATAGTTTTAATACTGTTAAAAATTTAAAGCTAATGCATGATTTGCAACACTGACACTTATGCTCTTTATGGTGCATAAGTTGATGTATATTGCATGTCAATAGATAATAGGTCAGCGAGTTCCTTATATGTATTAAAAGTTTCCTATTTTAAAAAGAGTCGAGTTTTAATTTTCCCATTCGAGTAAAAATTGTAAGCCCTACTTCCGAGTGCTAATAAAGTGCTGAAATGCAGAAATCAGAACTTAAATGTACAGTGTATTCACATGTCTTATAATTTATAGACACACATTTTTATTCAGATAATTTGCTTCCATTTTTCTTAAATATTGGAAATGAAATTTACTAAATCTACAGAAGGCAATGAATGAATGGAAAGTATTAATTCATTACAGCGCTTAACATTGGACAAGTGAAAGACGATCACTGAAGGTATATCCTTTCTGTTTTGAAAAAGACCCTCTACGAAGTCTTTTCCATTCTACAATATTTCAGATGGTGTTCATAGCTTAAGGGGTCGTGTTATTTCAATCCTAATGCGGTGTTGTTATGGTTACCCGGGTCATTAGCGTCAACTCTCTTTGGCAAAAAATTTCCTTTTCACCTCGGCGAGAAACCTGCCCAAGGTAACAACCCATTATTTTGACGTCAGAAAACAGGTGAACGGTCAGCGCCATCTATTGTCAAAAGGCTACATTCATGCTTCTCAAAATTCACTCTTAAGTTGAACGAGATGCAGGGGTTTTTTGTAATAGAATAAAATTTCAATTTTTATGTACTTGTGCCTGAAATCCTGAATTATTTAATTTTGTGAAGCATCTGAATGCTCAATAAATTGAAAATTTTCCATTGCCTTGGAAAAATTGCACGAGAAAAGTCGTCAAACAGGAAGTATGAGCCAATAGAATAGCAATTTAGGAAGTGAATTCAATTTGAATATGAATTAATTAAATCTCGTGGAATTGTGTTTGATGCACCTGAATGCATAGGCTGACGCCTTACCCCAAATCGAACATAGTTGAAAGTTTCGAAATGTTTTAAAAAGTAACTCATTTGAGATGTCGTAATTTTTAGTCCAAAGGGGCAATTTGTTCAGAAGGACTATTAATATCGTTTTGGGATTTTGCAGTGATTCACTACAAGCGTTGTTTCACTTTTCAAATTGTTGACAAATATTATCGTCCTGTATTATATTTAAAGAAATTAAATAATGAAGAATCTGCATAAATGTATGTATGTTTCTCGCATTGTGATAAAATGACGGAAACTAGAGCTATCAAATTTTGAATAACGTAATTCTCCTGCTAATATTAGCATTTGGAAGCACAAATTTGAAATTTGGAATTTTTTTATTATCGATTTCATAATTTGTAAAACTTTGACGAATTTTTGATAAACAAGCTCAAGGATTTCAAATTGAGCAATGGCAACGTTGTACAGAAAAAAACATTTTTATCTCCAGTGACCGAGACTGTGTATTGGAAAGTCTAAATCCGGGGTACTCAAACTGTGATAACGGGCTCCGAGGTGACAAAGTGACCTTGCATAACGCCCGCCAAGTTTCGTTTTTTTTTTTTTTTTTTTTTTTTTTTTGCTGCAACAGTCTTTCTTGAGACTGCACATAGAGGGGACTCGGCGGAGGAGGGGTCAGAAACTTGGTTGGCCTTGTCTTGGGTTTCGGAAACATCGAGGGGGATGGCGTGTTTTAACTTCATCCTTCTTATCGCCTCTGTTCGGTTTAAAATGGTAACTAAATGATAATGCGAATGCACGCCTCGGACCTGGGAGAGCCAGCTACCCAATTTCTGAAAAAGGAGGGAGAAATAAATTCCGAAATGTCCGTGAATGACACATACATGACCTTGAACGCAGCTACTGAGAAGGTCAAAAAATTTCACCGAAAGGAGTAATTACTGTTTTATGTTTTTGTAACGAACGCGCCTGGTAAGCCCGACGCGGGTCCTCGCGGGTTAAGTTTTAAGATTGGGGTACGGTATTACAACTGACCAACCAAAAAAGGGCTGACAAAGAGCCGTATTCTCCTAACGTGCGACGAGATCTCTATACGAGAGTGACGTCACATATGACGCATTTTTCTTGCGGAGCGACAATTTGCAATTCTTGATCTCTGATCGAAACCATTTCGTGCTACGTAGGGTCCATCTCATCGCCTGGTTTTCGGCTGCTGATGTGCAACCGTTTAAAAATTATGCCATCGAAAAGTAATGGCGTCGGATGAATGTTTAGCTATGTATCATTTATTAAACCTAACACATCATCGTAATTCAATTCAAAGAAAAATGTTTCGAAGCAGACTGGATGTGTTTGCATTATCTGACAAGCAGTTTATAAAGTTATTTAGGGTAGATAAACAGTTGTATTCTGAACTAATAGCTAATGTCCGAAGACTCTTACTTTTTTATGGATTGCCGCATGAGCTAAGAGTAAGTTACTTATTTGAATTGTTGAAATTTCAGTCTAAAATTGTAAATTACTTAATCAGTTATTCCATAATTTATGTGTTTATATTCTATATGTGTCATAATTTCTGTTTTTCTGGTCAATTTCAGTTGCAGAAACATATTCTATGAATTCGTGTACGCTTTCCGAATAATTTTGTTTTAATATTTTTTATGTATCGCCTGAAACATTCGGAAAACTTAATTAAGTTCCGCATTGTATAATAATAAACAGAGAAGAATATGTTAGTTAAACTTCTCTCTGATTTTCATAATAAATTATATCTTTGGTGCATAATATTCTCATTTGTGTTTTTTTGTCAAATATCAAGATCTGAAAAAGGTAACTAGTTGAATTCATTTGCAGTATTATTTAGAAACGAACTGCAATGATTATTGGAATTTTAGAATTTGATATTATTCTTGAAGTAACCTGTTAATATTTTATCTAATTATAGTGCTTACAAATTCAAGTGAAAAGGGATTGCAATTTTTTACCTATTGATGTAAAATACCCTGTTTCTTCTTATAAAGGATATGTTCTTATGAAATTGTTTGAAAACAGAGTATTCTTTTTTCCATTTTACTTTACCAGTATTATGCTATTTTAAAAGTATCATGTGAAAATATTGTAAGTTTCTAACCTGATAGATTTATAAAAAATTTATAAAAACAATCATTTTCACAAGAAATATAACAAAATGGTGGAATATTCCTCAAAGATATTCCTACGAGATCACAATATCACGCAATATAAACAGTAGCTATATTTTAAAGCAATAAAAACGTTTAATAGAAAGCAATCCAAAGCGCAGAAAATGCTAACCGGATCTCACCGCGAATTCACTATCGTCAACAACAACAGTTATAGAGACATTAGAATATTTTTAAATCGGGAGAGATGAAAAAATGAGCAATACCCTCGCCGGGACTCGAACCACGGACCTCTCGAATACGCGTCGAGTGTGCTGTCACTATACCACGAAGGTATGCTAAGAAGGCGAGAGAAATATTTTATACAGTTGTCTAAACAGCTACAACTGAGCTGAGATGTTTCTCTCCGGCTTTTATAGCTTTTTAAATCAGTCAAGCGAGATAGTTCCAGGAATTTCTGGAAAGAAGAAAGCATAGAATTACGGTTACAGATAACCTCGTAGTCAATTACATTTATTTAAATTAAATATCAATTATAAAGATAAACTTTTATTTAATGTTAAATGCACGTGCTCTTGTATTTTTACTTTTCCGGGATAGCTTTCTCTTAAAATTTGTCACGCGCTGCATTGCAAGTAGAAATAAAACAATTTTAATTATAATTCTATTAAAAATATGTAACTAAATGCAAAATTCGCAAGACTGCCCTCTTCACAAGGACTGCACGTGACCCTGGAAAAGAAGCCATATTTATAACTAAACCATCAATTCAATAATACACATTACACTACAGTAAACAAACAAAATAAACAATAGTTCCAATAAATAACTTAAAAGAAAGAAATACAAATTAATAAATGAATGCATAAATTTACAAATTTAGAAACAACAAGCACTATGGTCTTATACTAATTACAATATATGCACTACGTACTATGGCCATAGTAAGGAGCTAACCTGTCGTAACGAATGTAGGCTTAGAGTTCGATGACTAACAGATCCGGACCACGACATCGTTCAGCCTGTTTAGGACTGTATATGGACCATCCCAAGGTGACAGTAGTTTAGGACAGAGTCCTTTTCATCGAGTCGGATTCCATAACCACACCTGTTTCATTCGTTGAATCGATGTGCAGTAGCTCTCGTATTGTATCGGGTCTTTATCTTCTCCGTCGTCAAGTTGATTCGCTCTCCTGTTGTTTTTGAAATCGAAGAAAAAATTATGTTTCCTTAAAAAGTTCAATCTGAGTATGCAAGGATCTGTAATATCTGCCACATATGCCGTGTGATAGTAGGAAGCACTTCTAAACGTGATGTTCACGTTTAACTTCCCATCTAAATTGATTTTATCACCAGATTGAATGTACAAGTCCTATGAAAAGTTAATAACATTTATTCTAATCACAAGAAATATATCACAATGCTGGAATGTTCCTCAAAGATATTCGTACAATAGCATAATGTCACGCAATTATAAAGAGTAGCTATATTTTAAACCACTAAAAACATTAAACAGAAAGCAACCCAAAGCGCAGAGAAAGCTATTCCGATCTCATTGTGAATTCGCCACAGTCAACAACAACAGTTATTTAAACAGCTACAACTGAGCTGAGATGTTTCTCTCCGGCTTTTATAGCTTTTTAAATCGGCCACGCGAGACAGTTCTAGCAAGTTCTGGAAAGAAAAAAACATAGAATTACGGTTACAGCTAAAATAGTAAGCAATTGCATTTATTCAAATTAAATATCAATTACAGAGATAAACTTTTATTCAATGTTAAATGCATCTGCTCTTGTATTTTTACTTTTCCGGCGTAGCTTTCTCTTAAAATTTGTCACGTGCTGCATATAATTCTATTAAAAATATCTAACTAAATTCCAAATTTCGTAACAATATCAATACGAGATTTCATTGGCTACATACCCTTGTATTTCGTAGAAAACTTTTGCATGAAAATTACTACCAACCAAATTATGATTTTCGTACATTAATAATGATGAATTCCTTGTTAAGAAAGAAGTATTTCAAGTATTTCATTTCCGTTACCGCTAGGGAAAAGGAAACAGGAATGTGGAAGAAAACGAATTTTTGAATTTTTGCAGTTTATTCTAAAATGCAATTTCAAAGTTCCAAATATTGTAATATTATTACGAACTGACCTCACAACTTCTGTAATCGCTATTGGCTGTAAGAAAGGTTTTCTGAATAAAAATTATTTACAAAGTGTTTTAGATCTATAAATGTTTGTTTTGCATGTTTACTTTGTATTTAAGAAATCTTTCTATACTGTCTACATTACAGCAAGTGGAGCAATCAAGAAAACTTCTACGATGTCACTAATGTTTTTGAGAACCAAAAATCATAAAATCGGCCACGCCAATTTTAAAATCTTGGAATTAAAAATTTTCATCAGAAATAAGAGTTTTAACTCATTTCCCTATATGACGTTTTAACATTTTCTAAAATTATTTCTTTGTATATCGTGATTAGTGAGAAATTTAGGGACCGCTTCGTGCGCGTACGTACTATTCGTCCTCAGAAAACACAACCCGAGAGTAAATTTGGTGATTTACCAGGTCTTGGCAAAACCGTGACAGTATGCGCATGCACGAAAGGAAAGTAATTCTGTCTCATTCCTTCGTGGCGCAAATTCGTAATACCCGAAAATATATCATAAAAGATGGAAGATGAATTTTATAAAATGTTATTTGATGGATGTGCCTATGAGGTAGTTTCTTCTCAGTTCAGAGGTAAAGAGAGCTTTTACTTTGAAATTAGATGAGATCTAAATACTGTAGGTCGATGGGGGAAACGAAAAACCTATTTTGAAGTTTTTTCTCATGTATACATTGAATTGTGTCTTTCAAAACAAAACAATGTAATTCGGAAGCAGCAAAATTTATATTTAAGAACGATTGTGTGTGTCAGCATTCATGAAGAAATAAGAAATAGGTTAGTTGAAGAAATAAAGAGTGTTTAGCTAATCTACTTGTATGAATAAAAAAAAATAACAAGTTCATTATAGTAATTCATTGTATCATTATCATTTTAGTAACTCATTATATCATAATTAGTTCATTGTATCATTCATTCAAGTAAAATTCATTCAAACATTACAGCAAGAATGGAAGCCAGTCCATATATAATATTAATCAGTATTGCAGAATATATTTATAGCAATGTTTTTGCAAAAGTAAATTTCACATGAAGCATATTTTATACTCTTATTAAATGTATCAATAGACATATTATTAAACTGATATATCATAGTCTAAGAATTTTATAAATGTGTTTTTATACAAATTCAGCAATCGCACAAAAAATATTGAAAATGGTATCACAATAACGCGCGTTTAATCTTTAGTATGCGATGAATCTTTAATTACAATACGTGTTTAATCCTTAATTAATAGATGTTTAATCTTTAACACTTACGTGTCTAATTTCTAGATAGTGAAATTTTTGGTAATTAATTGCTTGCTCTTATGTTGAATTGTGAAGCTTTTTCTGATTATATTACATCTTCTATACTAAAACAATTTTGCCTTCTTAACAAACTTCTGGTATAGCCTTGTTTGAGACCAACTTACAGCCACTGCATATTAGGTTCAGGTTCAGGTAGAAGTGTAGTGGGACACCCAAATGTTTACTATAAGTAATGTAGGTATAGTCCCACTACACTTCGGTCTAGAGCAGTGTTTCTTAAACTGTGGGTCGCATTGGCAAAAATTATTGCTGTTTTAAACAAAAAAAAAATAATTATAATAGATCATTGACATCAGTAACTGCATTAGTTCATTGTCAGTATCATTGGTTTCATAATTAGCAGATTTAGAGACATGATTATATATAATTTTTAAAGTTAGAATTTAAAATAGTATATAGTAGTATATTGACATTTTGACTGATATCATATATATTAGATATAATTATAATAGTTATAATAGTATGATGATAGTAGACCAAAAATTATATTAATAATAATTATAATATAATAGTTCATAATTCCTTGATTATAATATATAGAGGTATAATTATAATAGTTCATAATAATTTCTTGAATTATAATATATATAATAGGTATAATTAATAGTTCATAATAATTCCTTGAGATAAAATTTATTATATGAATTCGTACCTTCTTCCTCTTCTTTACTATATTATTATTATTGCATGGATTTGTTTTTAAGATAATTAAGTAATTTTAGATGAATTGAAGCTTCAAAAATGAATTTTGACATTAATTACGTTAGTGCTCACATAAAGTTTTGCCTGTTGAAGATAGATATTTGATTGTATTTTGTATTTTCTTTTTTAAATGTTTGTTGTTA